ATCTATTTAATATTTGATTATATAGTTTCATATTCAACTGTACAAATTCAAATTCACTCGTAACCGATAAATTTTATCCATTTTCTTGAAATGATTAGTTGAATGATTTATATGTTACCTTTCTATTGATATATTACTTTTCACATCATTATTTGCGTAATTTGTTTTTTCGCCTCAAGCAACTAACTTAAAATAAATAATCATTAAGAATTTTTCAACATATCATTTGCAAAAAAAAAAAAAAAAAAATTTTTAGAAAATGAATTCATTAAATTAAATTTTTTTTAGTTTGATTCGCTGTAAACAATATTTTCTTTTCTATGAGTGTTCACGTTTTCTTTTCGAAGAGTGTTCACCATTTCTCGTCAAGCTTGTTCCACTGAAATGTCGACGCAGACGAGTTTTATCATGGAATCATTTGGTGATAGAATGTGAATCGCCAGCATATCGGCGCTCAGGGATGAGAGCAATAGCCCACGAACTATCCCCATAGTTTAACGTTGTAAGAAAATTATTGGCATACACCAAAAAAAAAAGAAGTAAATTTTAGTGAATTTTTTATTCATTATCACTGAGATTCATATTAAATGAATTTTTAAAAATTTTAATGCATATTTATCTTAGAAGAAACAATAAATAAAAGATGTTGCTACGTGGAAAATTGTGAGGATTTTCCTATAATTTTGCAAATTAGGTCTTAAAGACGGCTTTAATTGTTTCAAACGATCTTATCATTGACTAAAACGCTTCGCTTCGCTGAATAAATACTTTAAATATTTTAATAGTAACTAGTTTTATTGTTAAAATTAATAAGCTACTGATTTTATCAATATGAACTCAGATCAAGACGGTGCATCGAAGTGTTACCTTTTTTTTACTCATTTAATTTAAATATATTCTTTGCAAATACAATGCAATTCCAAATTGTCATAATTAGTTTCATGAATTATCCATGCAAAGAAGATGACTGATGGTAGTTCTGTTCTTATATCCGTGTCCAGTTCTTGCCTGTCTAACTAAAGGGGGTTTAAGATCTATGCAAAACACTGGCGCTCTTGATGCATCAATTAGATCAACAAGTTAACATCAATAGTAAAAAATATTTTAGATCAATACATATTTTAGTTTAGTTTTGAAAAATTAATTAGCTTATCAAATTAATAAAATAAATTTGAAAATGATAATGATAAAGAAAATGATAAAGAAGGAGCAGCTAACTTGAAATAAAAATCAAATGCTGAAAGCAAAAAGTAGGCAAGTAATTTAACAATTTAAATGAATGGTATTACTCGTATTTTATGGATGAATTAAAAAAAAATAAGTCGACGTTCAATTATTAAAAATCTTTATAATCCCCTAGTTTTTTTTTTTTTTCAAACGAATATTTTAATTAAATTTTTTCAAGCAAAACAAAAAATTACTTGCTTTTTTAATTGAAATCGATTGAATTCTCGTAAATTTGAACCAATTCGAAAATTGAAATATTCGATGCGGTAAATGGAGTAGTTCGTTAATTAATTGCTCTATTTTGAACGAATGAATTTTCGACACAATTGTGAAGTCTCCTAGTGATAGATTTTTGCTCCAAGAAATATTTTGCCTTTTTATCCAGCTTGCCTTTGTTTTACTTATCAACATATCACATATTATTTCAAATATTTCACGTTTTTTTTTCCTTTCGATCCAGTTTTTTTTTCTTTTCTTGATAACACTATCAACAAATATCAACAATGATATCATTTTTGTCACTTAAAATCGACAATTATATAATATAATATTTATTTTTCTTTTTTTTTCAGACTTTTTCTCCTCTTTTTGAGATCAAATCGATAGCATTTTATTTACATAATTATTGTAATACTAATATTTATAATCAATTATATATTAATAAAAAAAAAAGCTAAAATTGTTTTTTCTTCGGTTTTCGATTTTTTTTTAAAATACTGTTGTTACAGAGCAACCACATAAGCACTATTCAACATTACTCTTCTAAAAGTACTGTTTTTGATTTGCTTGACTTTACTGATTCCTATATTTAGAGGAGATATGGCCACGATAAAATTGTTTAAAAATGTAACAGCAGATGGGTCCTCAACTGTCACTCAAATTTCATTAATAAACAGGCTTACAAGAAACCTGAATCGAAGCCATCCTTGCTCTAAGTCAAAGCAAAAGCCAATGCCCATATTTTCTTATTATTTGCCTTTTATTATAGAGAAGTTAAATTTCAAAATTAAAATTACAAAATGTTTCGGAATTGATAACGATCTTTTATTAATACAGTATTTATCATAGCATACAAATATAATATTTTGTGAAAACAAGTTGTTAGCGAATCGGGAAGAAAAGAAAATTAAATTTGCTTTTTTTTTTTCGAAGAGCTGTCGCCATTCCTAGTTAAGCTTGCGCTGGTTCGTTAAATTTTTTCAAGGAGTCATTTGGCTATCGAAATATAGATTAGCTGCCAATCCGGATTTTTAAAAGACAGGTTTAATCCTGTGGGAAATAGAATCCCAGAAGATATTGCACTTAATGTCTAATGATAATGATAATTCATTTTCATTTGATAAGAAAAGGCTTGTTTGTAAATTATGATTTCTTTTTTTGTTCACAATTTTGAAGATTTATGGCTTTAATTTTAAATCAAATCTTTTCTATCAAACTCTGATAAATTAATGAAGAATCTTGTTAAATGCAAAAATTTTTATTTCCTAGCGAATTTAACCATTTCATTAGGTTTTGAGCTTTTTGGAGGCTTTTTTAAATTCCATTTATACTTTCCTTAATAGTGCAACATAATAGTTCCTAATTTTATCCATTTTTTTTTGATAAAAAGATATGGCAAAAAAAGATAGAAATTTTTATTAGCGTGATTCATGACTTCTTTTCAAGTTCTCTTTGATTGGCTTAATTTGTTTCTAGCATTTAAATCATGTTGAAGAAGGATATTCAGGTCCTACTCAAAGGCGTTCGGTCGGTGCCATTTGTAAGAATCCACTAGGTTTAGTGAGAGTCTTGTGAATTATATGGTCGGCTATAGTGGATTATATCGATTGTACCAAAATTTCCATTATTGTATGCAAGGAATGTTCCCATAGAAATAAAAAAATTTGTAAAGAAAAGTTATTTACAAGAAATAAAAAAACTATTGGATAAATAAACCAATTAAACTTATATTCCAATATTACTACAATAAATCGAATAATCAAATTGAATTCGATTCAAAAAAACAATATTTTGATGCACAATTTTAATTTCTATCCTATTATCCAACTATTTCGCTGTTTATATCGTCCCAGTATCTGTCATCGGCATCTATATGAAAAGGACCTCTCATTTGCATTATATCAACAATAATCATAATAGTTGAATGGCCTCCTTCTAATGCATAGGCTATATTTCCGAGTTGATCTTCATTTTCGATAAATACCCTTCTTGGTGAAAATTATATTTGATTTGATGAAACTCTCTCAGAAGTTTCTTTATATTCATATTTATAGAGGAAATTATTGCCCTCGAAACTTTCATGCATTTGCCTTTCTTCCTTTAGCACTTTGGGCCTTAGTTTACTGGTGATCATTTAATCTCAATATATTCAATGTCAAATTACTCATCTAAATCTGCATAACTCTTTATTCCTAGCAGAAATAAGTTAGTTTGCTTTTTGGTAATAATGGCATTTTTTAACTCTTTAAAAGTTTTAGAGGATATTTTATGAAAAACTCAAAATTCATTAAATTTAAGCTATTTTTTAGTGTGTTCTGGTTGGGATTTTTGCGTTCTTCTTCGATAAAATTACTTTGATAAAAACTTTATTTAAAATTCTGCTTCAAAATCCGAATTTATTAAATTTCATAAGGAATTTTACATTTTAAAAAATCGTTAAATAAATGACAAAAACCATGAGAAGATATTATCTCTTATTCGTAACTGTGCATTTGTTTCTGATGATAAATGTTATATTTTTAAAATTACGCTCGAAATGTCGAATTCGTTAAGAAATATTTTACTTCTATACTTTAAGAAATATCTTATTTCTTTCACTATTGGAGAAAAGATAACTGAATTTAAATTCTTTTCATTTCACTGCTATATGGATGATAATATTTTACCTTCACTCCTGATTAGTTGCTATCATTATCACTCGCTTTTTGTTCCAATTCCATAGTTCATAACGAAAAATAATGAATGAAAGTCTATTTGATAAAGCTCGATTTATTCAGATTTTTCTTTCATATGATATAACGAATACTGTTATATGTAGAAAGGCTTAATTTGTGTATATATTTATTCTTTTAGAGATTTTCAGGTTTTTAAGGCCATTGAAACAAAATAACAATACGCTTATAATACGCTAGTAGTTTTTAAGCCAATACGCTTCCCATCTGCCAAATCGTATGAAATCGCTTATTATATTCCTTAAAACTACTCCGCTGTTATTTATTTGTGCTCCATCTCCTTCTAAAAAGACTTACTAGTTTTAATTTTTAGTTTTAGTTTTTAGTTTACTTAGTTCCGTTGCTTACTCAATGAAGAAAAAAAGGTAGATCTCCAGCGCGACTTCACTTTTAATAATAGAGTAAGGGAAGAATGGCATTATGTTAGCTCAATTTTTATCCAAGCAATGTTCACTTATCCTTATCCTTATCTTTGTTCATTCATCATAATATAGATTTTCAAAAATGTTTTTAAGTTTTAGTTCTATTACAATTCAGTGCTGATGCCGAGGATGATTTTAAGTTTCATCTAATATCTATTAGTATTAGCTTCTTATGAATTTAAACTGTTATCGATATACAATTCGGTAATTTGTTCGTTAAGTATAATTATATCTAGTGCTCGTTTTATGTACTGGAAATCTCGGCATATTGTAAAATATCCGGACATTTAGTCCGAGATATATTCGCTACTGATCTCATTATCAGAGAAAATTGATTCTTTAAAATCACTGCTATTCACAAAAAATCTCATTTGGATAACTGTTTATTTTATCAAATATAATGGCTGATAAAATCATTGTACCGGTTGATCCTATGTCTGACAAGCCAGTCGAATTATGGCGAAAATATATGAAACAGGGCAGAATCTCCGAACCAGCGAAAATGCTTCGGTTTGTATTTTTCGAATATCATCCTATGGAAAAAAAAGAGCTATAGATTCATGCCAAATTTCTTATCAAAGCATCTTTATGGTAGTGTTATGTGACAATGGTGATAAAAATTTTATAGAATGATCAGTCATTTTTCTCCACGCGAAAAAATATAAGTATTCAAATTATTAAATGTTATAAAAATAAATTACGCCACATTAATAAATCTTTTTCATTTTACGGTATAATAAAAATAAATGATCTGTGAATTGGTATACTCCGTAAAATAATATTTTCTACGTTTTCATGCTATTGTTATCCAAAATCGTAATAAAACGATCCATTTTTTTGCTTCTTTAATTTTCATTTTTCCCCTTCTAAAAGTACTATTTCTGGTTTAGCTATTCTATTGATTACTGATATGATAAGAAATTTTTTAGATTAAATACTCCAATTTATGAAAACAAAGTTCGATTTGTATGTATATCTGATACACATGAAAAGTTAGAAGAACTTTTGCCAGTGATTCCAGATGGTGACGTTTTGATTCATGCTGGCGATTTTACGAATTATGGTGACATTGGAGAAGTAATCAAGTTTAATGCTGAAATGGGTACGCCTTAGGGTCTTCCAGTTTTGTGATTAAAATCTTATCCAGTAGTTCTCAACCTTTACTGTATCATAATTCTTTCTTCTGAGACTATCCTAAAGAGCAAATAAAAAGTTTAGCGTAATCAGCACCCCTTACGAAGGGAAGTCGTCAGGCTCATAATCATCTCAGAAAATAAAAAAATACATAATTCAGCAATTTTTTTTGGTTGTACGTATGCTTATTAGAAGATTTTGAGCTGCAACACTAAATTAGTTGTTATTCACTTTTTTTATTATAATGATGCCAAATTTTCTCTAGGCAAAGTACAATTTTTTTTAAAGATTTATTAGCTTATTTTTTCCATTGTGAATGAAATTAGGTCATGAAAAGAGAACTCAATTTTATCCAATTTAATCAGCAATCTCATACAAAATTCAAATTAATACTCAATTTAACACCTATTTTATATTCATTCCTATATTTGGCTTTCTTGAAAAGAAGTTAAGTTCCAACATTTTAACGAAGCTCTCTTTGTTTTATTTTCTACATGTCAGGCAAATTACCCCACAAATACAAAATAGTAGTGGCTGGTAATCATGAGATTGGTTTCGAGGATGGCGAAGAAATGAATGAGAAACAGCTGGCTGGTCTAAATATGCTCGGTATTAATAAGGCTTATGAAATGCTTAGCAACTGCATATATCTATGCGATTCACAAGTAAAGGTAGGCATATCATTAATTAATTAATATCATTTATTTATTTTTTCAATTTTTGCGATTGATTGATTTTTTTAAAAGAAATCTATATAACTGAAATCGATTTGGCCCCACCATCACTGTTAACTGTAATTAACACATTTTCATTTAAACAATTTTCAAATGGTCCGCTTTTAAATTAGCTTTTTAATGAGCTAAATTGGCCTTTCCAAAATTTGTTTTACGTATTTTATGGATTTGTAGTGTCAAATAGAAAAATAATATCGAAACATAAATAATACTTCATTTTACTATTCAACAATTTTGAGTAATTTAATTTTATAAATTTTTTTTAAAAACTCGTTTGTATTTTTATACGTTACTTAGTCACATATCTATGGTTTTTTCAAAATGCTTTCCTTATGTTAAATATTAATAATGCCACATGAATAGTTTCGTTCTATTCAATATAATGAATTTACCTTCATTTATTTTGTATTTAATCTTAAGCAATTATTCAGGTTTACGGTATTAAAATCTATGGTGCACCATGGCATTCAATGCCAGGTTATTCATTTTTTCGCTCACGTGGCAGCCAGATCATGAACAAGTGGAATTTAATTCCATCTGGTATTGACATTCTTGTTACACATGTGCCTCCGTTAGGTAAGTTAATATACTCTTATAAACCTATCAACAGTTTCATCGATAATAATTAACTTATTCGGCTAGAAAGTGCTAACTGATGTCCATAAATTGAAGTAAAAAATCTTAACGTGTAGTTGGTTTGACTCTTATCATCTGTTAATCATTTTATGCAAATTCATTGTTTATCGCACCGAATTCATAAAAACTAAGAACAAGTAGTGAAAATGATGAATTCTTATTATTAAGCCAATGCTCATTATTTCAAGAAGGTCAAATATCATTCTGTTGATTAAGGCAGAGTTATCATAGGTCCGATCCTGTTCATTAATGGAAGCTGTCCTGCTAGTAAGCGTGGCAACAGTGAATTTGCATTCAAATTAATGTGCTAGAAGTTCTGTATTTCTTCTCTCCAACCACTCTCTTACAAAGAGGTTCCACGTCTTATCTTTGTCGCGGGAGTGGGCCAAACCAGCACTGGTATGAACTATTAGAAAGAAGGAGAAAAAAAAGAAAGTGGTTCCATTCAAGTGGAAACCAATGATACCAGCCAATCTCAAGATGGTGACTTATTGAGATAAAAATATAAGGTCATGGAAAACAATTAAGATTCTTAGAAATAATTTGGAAACAAACGAGTTAGAGAATAATTAATAATGTAGCGTCGATTCGAAAATTTCTAAGATCAATAAGAACGAAACAACTCCTAGTTAACTGATTTAAACTGTACAATTTAAAATAACAAGAACTATCCAATTTTGCTGGGTATTTGTAGGTGAAACAAAGATAAGAAACCATTTTTTAATATTTTGCAAGACCAACTCAAATGAAAGCGGATGTATTGAATTAAATTAATGAAATTATTTTAGCTTTTTATTCATTAATTTAGGCCATGGTGATTTTAATCGCTTGAATAAATGTGATGGAATTTTGGCTGGTTGTGCAGATCTTTTAAACACTGTTGAGAAGCGTGTGAAACCAAAGTACCATGTTTTTGGACATATTCATCAGATGCATGGAGCAACAACGAATGGTACAACTATTTTTATAAACGCATCCATATGTGATCACAAACTGAGAACTGAATACGACCCAATCATATTTGATTTACCTTTGCCTCTCGGATATACTAAAGATCTGTAAAGATAAAATTAATATCAGTCAGTGCTATCAAAAGATAATGCAACTTCGAATGGTGTAATGGTTTTTTTCTTTTTTTTTGGCAAGAATTGTTCTAGTCGTGTAAACGTATTTAAACTGCTCGTTGATTTTATTGAATACGATTAAGTTATTTTCACATAAAATACTTTTGTTTATACGAGAGATTTTTTGAACAAAAAATCCTATGAAATTTATTACATAAAATCTTCAATCAGCAAGTCGAGGATTAGAGTTAAAAGTTTTTAACATTAGAATTAATTATTGAAGAAATTTCTTCTAGCATGGCTCTTTTTTCTAAGAGCTCTCACCATTGTTGATTAGAATCACTATTGGCTATTGGCTTATCGAATTAGACAATTGCCATGGAATTTTGACGATAGAAAAGTGTGTAATTGGTAGGTAAAAAAAAATAGGTAAAAAGAAGAATAGCCAAGTGGCATGCTACCTCGATTATGAAGAGACCATCCTAGATTTGATTCCTATTTCTCATCTTTCAATGCATCTTTCATTAAAAGTGAAATTTTGATATGAACCATCTGCACTTATCTAATTAGCCGCTATTCGAAAAGTCCTACCTTGGAAATCAGTGGAAAAAGTTAAATCAGTACTTGTAAATGCCATTAAAAGATGAAAAGGTAAAAAATCTGATAAAGCCAGCATCATCCGTCTCGTTCTATTATTGAAACAGAAATATGCACAAACACAAAAACCTAATACCAAAATTGGATTTAGATAGTGAAAAAGCGAACCAGCGAGTCTAAAGAACAACTCACGGCCTAGGCAATAGGTTTAAGACACGGGGTTAGGGAGATGTAATAGGTTATCAAAGCACAAGCATTTTGGAATAAAGCGATATTATTACCATAAATAGGTTTAGGATAACCGAGTAGTTGTTGCTCAGATAATGGGTTCAAGAAACAGGAATCGGGTCTTGCGTTATACAATAATAAATTATTAAAAATCGAATAGTGCTGCAGTCTCTTTTGTACTTTCATCTCCAAATGAATGAAAATTCCTAATATCTATTGGAATCGTTTTTTTTCATTAAAAGTAAAATTCTGATAGTGACGAACCATCTGCACTTATCTAATTAAATTTCGAACTTCCGAAAAGTCTTATCCTGGCAGACAATCCAGTTTTGTCCTGAAAAAGTTAAACCAGAAATTATTAGTATTATTAAAAGAAGATTAAAAGGTAAAAAGAGTAATAAAACATGACTTTGTTCAGAGAGCTTCGTGACATTCAGAAAATTATCAAGAAATTTTTTATCTCAAGAAATTTGATTATATAAAGGTGGTTGGTGTTTTTGTAATAGAGTACAATGAGAAGATACCAATAAATCCAATGAAATGAATTAAAAGCACCCAATGCGAGGATGAGATCTTTAATTCATTGTTCCGGATTACGCGCAGTTCTTGGATCAACTTCGCTGGATTCAATAATAAAATAAAGGGTTGCGGAATTCAGGACATCGTAACATAAGCTCATGCCTGGTTTTCGATATGATTTTCAAAGCGTTTTTTAAAAATGATGATTAATGAGATAAACAAAATGATAAGCAATTATTTCAAAACTTTTGCCATTTGCGGTTTGCTATTATTTTCGTTGATTTACAATGAATGGTCTAGCTATATGAAATGATATGATATGAATGATATGAAATGATTCAACCAAAATGCATTCTCTGAAAACTTCAGTTATGATTGCTGATCGATTTTCACATTCACCCAACATGATCCGTTTCTTCTAGCCATTTCTTCTAACAGCTGGTTAGGATTGCTCCGATGACTACAAGGGTAAGAAGTTTCGAAACTGCACGATCTTTGGTAGTAATAGAAGCCATTCCTTTTTTCACTTCTAAATATATATCTTATATGTTCAAAAACTTTCATAACTGTATCAGTCCAGGTCTTGACCGGTCCTCCTCACTTTTGATTCCATCGGTCGCAGGGTTCAATTAATAAAGAAATATATATCTAGTTACACATCTGTTTGTTGAATTTAACCACAGTGGTTGGCATCATCTGCATGAAATTTGTTCACGCAATTAAATTTAACCAATTCACATTATTCATAATAAGGCATTTTTAATATGCTTCGCTAAATTCATATTTTTATATTTGTTTATGGGAATATTTTTTATTATTTTATTAAGATGTATAATTATTATTCAACAAGTTTAACTTTTTAATTCGGTAAACAAATATTATTGCGGCCAACATTATATCCGAAATTTTCGGTGTCAACGAGTGTAAAGAAAAGAAATGCTGTAGAATCTCCATAAATTCTAAAAACCCTCCGGGCAAATACAAAACAAATTAAGATAATCGGGACAAAAACGATTTCGCCTTTTTCACTATTGGTTTCAGCCTGGAGAAACAGGTTCGATAATAAAGATATATATTTTCAGCAAACAATGAGAAATTCTGTCTCATTCACTTTAAAGGAAGAATTTAACAGAGAAGTTAGGAGGGTAGAAAAACAAAAGAAATAAAAAAGTAAAAGATGGACCCTAAGTCTGAATAACACTCGAACAAAAAGGCTCCATAGAAATGAAAATGTTACTTCTCTACGGTACAATTTTCTCATTGTGACCTAGATTTCAGCTAATTTTAAGGCATTGCGACTATTAAAGTCCTTCATTTATTCAAATTTGCTGTTCGAATATTCCTATACTATTAAAAGCGTTTTAATAGATAAAAAGACAGTTTGACATTTGACATTGACATTGGCAACATTGGCAATTTGTTATGAATTCCTTTCTTCCTCTTTTGGCACAATATCAGTGAATGCGAAATATTTTTAAGAGAGATATGATAAAGTGACGACGATAATTTGAAAGGGTTTCAAGCGATAAAACATTTCTAGGGATAGAAATAAAAGAGTGTGGTTAGCCTTTACCATTATTTCAACCGAACTCATTTTATTGGGTTAGCAAATTTTCTCTTCATGAAATGATGAAGTGCAAAAAAATATTAATTAATTAACCATTACTTCTCAAATGTGCTTTATTGCGTCTCATATGCCATCATTAGACAAGTGTTTGGATACTCTTACAAAAACCATTTGAAGAATTAAGAGTTGTAGGACGAATATTTATCACAAATAATTTAATACGATTCGCTAATTTCTTATGGCAAATGCTTATTCAATGCTTATAAGGAATACTAAAAGAATAACTTGGTATAATAAGGAGGGAATTAATAAAAAGCATTGAAGAGCGATGATTTTCTTTGCATTCGTTTGCTAATCCATATTCATTAGTTCTACTAGTTGAAATCGGTTTGCCTTCATATTCTATCGTATAATTCGTTCGGCTTCAAAAATGGATTTAATTCACTTATACGCTTCAATCTATTTTCATTTTATATTTTTCATTATTTTCATACTATCAAATAAAATTTTATTTTTAATGAGTTATTTGATGATAAAATCCATTTATTGGACTTCTCCTGATTGCATATCATTTCTTTTTTTTTTTTCGCTTAGATCAATGCTGATAATTTTCATTTTATTATCAGTTTTTTTTTGTAAAATTCTCATACAATATTTTTATAATATTTCGTATTTCAATCGCTTTTCAAAAGAAAATATTTCTCTGAAAACCTTTCGTTTTTATTATTATTATAATGTATAATATAAAAATAAAATAACTGACTTCCTTTTTTTGGAATAATTCCATTTTTGCTTTTTTTTTTATTAATATCCTTTTAATCTTTCCTTATATACATTTCGGTAAGTATTTCCGCAAAAGTCGGTGAATTCCCTGAAGATCTCAAAGAATTAAATCGATTCTTTCGTTTTCGCTGCTACCAATAATTTCAATCTTTTTTTTTGAAGATATAAAATTTTGCGAAATATTTTGAATTATCGATGTTTATTGATTTTTTTATTTTAAATTTCTAAAAATTACTAAAATTATCTAAAAATAATTTTTTAATTTCTCTTTTTTAATTTGAAATTTCTAAAAATTATTAAAATTGTCGAAAAATAATTTTTTAATTTAAAATTTCTAAAAATTATTAAAATATAATTGTCTAAAAATATATAAATTCTTTTTTTGATATTAGAATAATAAATTTCTCTGATTTTTTGCACATTTTATTAGTGTTATTGTTTAGTATTAATGATATTGTGCTAATGGATATTTCAGCTGAAAAGCAAAACGTTTATTGCTGTTAAGCGAAACGATAGATAAACAGCAGCTAAATCCATTCATTCACGATTAATTGCATCGTTTAATTGGCTTCGATCATCTTCAACGTTTGATCATTGTAATAAGTGAATCGAAACAGTTCCAGAAAATGGCAACGTTAAATGCCTATAGAGTGTTAGTTTTTTTTTTTTTTTCAATCATTATTATTCTTATTTTTCTATAAAATAGAATATTTCATTATGATATTTTATCATATAATTTATGATATTAAGTGATATTATTTTTTGAGTAATTTTTATGATCGTTTAGTTTTTTATTACAATTTCAAATATTCCATTAAAATTTATATTCTGTGAAAATTATTTTTAATTTTCTTCTGCTCGATAAAAGCTAAAAAATTTCTAAGAAAATCTTCATTGTAGATACCTTTTAAATTTTGTCTTTACTTTTGTTCAAAAAAAAAAGCTTTGAAATGGCAAATTTGAAAATAGAAAAAAAAATGAAGAAAATGGAAGTTTTATCAGTAGCTGCTCACAGAATTGAGAGCATCGATAGTACGCGGCTTTCCGGTAGGAGTTCTGTCAGGAGGAGTCTTTCAAAAATCCAAGTGATAGTGACGACTCAACTTCCATCGTCAAGTGATTCCTTGGTCGAAAATTGTTTCGACAAGCCAAAAATGGTGAACGCTCTTAGCAAAAAGAAATGAAATTTTTTCATTATTTTCAATTATTTTCAATAATTATTAGTTGGTATGTCGCACGAAAATGTCAAAAAAAATTTCGCTTAAACCATTTTTTTTCAAAATCAGATGGCGAAAAAGTCAAAA